TAAAAAGTAACATTTAAAACTTAATCATGTTCACCGAGTTTATATGGAAATTAGAAGTGGATTTCAACCTGCAGAAACTTTGTAATATCATTTAATTCCTACAGGAATTCAAAGCAGAATTAAATTTGCAGAGTTCTTGTCATGTCATAGCTTGTGAAAACGATACTTCACAAAAAAAGTTGTTAAATCCAATTATGAGACAAAAAATATGTCTGTTGTTGTAATTTTTATGTACCAGTATCAGTTAATCATTCATAGTTATATATATATATATATATATACACACACATCTATAATAATAAAAGGGCATGTCTCTGTGTGTGACCACCATAGCTCCAAGAGAAAAGAAACTAGAAACCTGAAATTTTGCACCAATACTAAGTGGACCCTGAGGGTGTGCACCTGGATATTATTACTTATCGTATCCACGTGCATGCATCTTTTTAGAGAGGCAAGCTAGCAAAAAAACCACATAGAAAAGAAGTGGTTTCTTATATTACAAATAGAAATCACAGATGGACATGCTCTTTTATTATAGATTTATAGCCCGTCATTTTTTGACGAGGCAAGTACTACCACCCCATAGTATACCCTGTAGTATATCAATAACTTCTGATATATAGAGAAGCCAGTGCAATTTGGTAACAATGTGTTCCAAAAATGACTTTTATGCCATGTTGCTTAGAGCAACAAAAGTATAACCTAATATTGTGTTAGTTTATGCAATGTAAGTATAAAATGAAATGTATGTGTTGATTAAAGAGGTTTGTTTTTATTAAAGACGTTGGTGATACAACAGAAAATATCTTCATTCCACTTACAAGGTTTCAGGGCCTCCTTGCATCCCCTGTAACTAAAATAATAATGGGCAAATCATAAGGTATGCCAAAATTGAAACAGAAAGGCTGCAATTCATTCGCATAAACCAAAAGAAGCTCTGAATTGAAGACTATATCTACCTGCGGGATGCTAAAATAGGTTCAGAATACACACACTGACAAAGTCATCTAAAATATATCAACCAAATAACCTGAGTAAAGCCAGGTACTTTCTCTAGTATATATATATATATATATATATATATATAT